GTTTTTTTCAATTTTTCCAACGTTTCCATTAAGGAATTTGACTCGATTTAAAGAAATTTAAAGAAATTACAATTAAATCTGACATGTTTTACTTGTGGTTTGAGTAAACGTCAACTTCTGACGTTATAATGGCTCAGTTTTTATCACTAAACGACCCGAATAAAGAGAAATAAATCAAGAATAGGAAATAAATAAGCTGCTGTGATGCGAGACAGTTCAAAAGTTGCTGCTATTATTAATAATATTATCGTTTTTATTGTTTCGAGGTAAATAAAAAGTGTATATGGGTATTTAATTGAATGGATAACTCATCAGTCCTTCGGAATTATTCATGTGTGTGTGTGTGTGTGTGTGTGTGTGTGTGTGTGTTGTGGAGGTAGTGGGAGGGCATTAAGAGGAAATTAGTGAGAACAAGCTATTTATCTTTATTCCCTGTTCAAAATCAGGTCGTTCTAAGTTTAAAATAAACGTTTTTTCTTGAACATTATGCATCAATGGCATTAGTCTATCAGCTTTCCCTGTATCTGAGCTCATTTTAAGAACGCACACGGCTCAAATGAATCATCCACACATTAAAAAAGCGGGATATACGGGTCTGTCTTACATTTTAATATCCAGGCCCGGATGACTGGAATATTATTTTCTAAGTTTTTTAGCGCAGATTCGGGACTTACCCAGAACTTACCTCACTTTTTTAAAAAAAGCCTCGAACCATTTGAGGGCAGACGCCTCGGATTATCCAGACTGGCAACTTCTAAATAAGCGCTGATAGTTTCTTCTTTTCTTTTCTTTTCTTTTCTTTTCTTTTCTTTTCTTTTCTTTTATCTCTGCGCGTCGACGCTTTTGGAAAAGACTTTGCGCGCATCACCGGGAAAAAGAAAAGCGTTCCTTTGCATTTACAAAAAAATCTGTTTTCTATCTAGAGGAGGACATCACGTCGGGAAATAAAAGAAGAAAGAGGCACTCTGGGTTTTGATTCGGATTTAACTGCTGTATGGAGTGAAGGCGTGGGAAAAGAGAAACGTCTTTTACGCACGGAAATTCTGAAGGAACGGAGCCTCTGGATTCAAATTGTCTTAACAAAACACCTTTTTAACAACTCGTGTTTGCCTTGAGATACACGAGATTAGAAAATTCCATATAAAAATCTCAGAAAAATGGTCCACGTGCCACGATATTAGAATTGAATTCAATTTAAACCGCAAAACCATCAATGTTTCACTTTTCTTTTTCTTTTTTTTTAGCTCTCTGGATGGACTTACTTCATGGGGAGATGACCCCTCCTGGCGTTGCTCGTGTGTGAGTGATGCAGAGGAGAGAGAGAGAGAGAGAGAGAGAGAGAGAGAGAGAGAGAGAGAGAG